CAGCCTAAACTTGAGAGTCTATTTAGCAAGCAAGACCTACAGTTAACTACTGAAGGTGGCCCTCTGTTTCCCCAGGGCACAAAAGTCCCAGAGTCAACTACTACAGGCAGTACTGTGACACTCTGCCTTACAGAGCATGGCCTCGTGAGTAACCCATGCTCCTGGCACTCAGGGATGTACTGCAGGGCTCTGACACCTCTTCTTCCACTGTAGTGCTCAACACATTGTCATGTGAATAACTAATTCATCAATGTCCCTGATCCCACTAGACTTACAACCCTAAAAGGACAAGGACATGGTGACCTTCTTCAAAGGTGTGTGATGTGGGATTGCCCTTTTTATGCTGTGAATATGTTTTATTACCATTGGTTAATAAAGAAGTTGCTTTGACCTATGGCAGATCAGAATATAGCTAAGCAAGAAAACTAAACTGAATGCAGGGAGAAAGAAGGCAGAATCAGGCAGATGTATTCTTGTAGCCACCCAAGAAGGAAGATGCGAGGTAACAAACCATGAGCCTCATGGTAAAATATAAAATAATAGAATGGGTTAACTTAAGATGTAGTAGCTAGCTAGAAATATGCCTGGGCTGTTCATCAAGCTGTGTTATAATTAATATATTTTTGTGATTATTTTGGGTCTAGGTGACCAGGAAACAAAAGCATCTCCTTTTACATAATGGAGACCAATGTTCAGCAACATACATTCACATAAAGCCTAAGAAAGCTTAGAAAAGGCTTCTAGACCCAAAAAATGGGAATCAATTAGAGCTTCTTGGTAGCCACATATTTTCAGATAGGCTCTGTTTGCTGATGGTGAGCAGAGGAGGGACTCTTTTAAGAGAAGGCTTCCTAACTCAGCACTGGTAGCAAAAACTTCATAATTCATGCTGGTAGCTCTGGATCTTTCGAGAGTTCTTGCTACAGAGCACTTAAATGGGGTATGTGAATAGAGTGGTTTGTTGGTGTCTAGTTTCTTGAATTTGTTTTTTTAAATGTATTTTGAATATTAGCCTTCCAGTGTATATAGTATTAAGGAAACTATTTTTGCATTTTGTAAGCTTTTATTCTGTCCTATTGGCAGTGTCCTTTGCCTGTTTTTATGTTGAAGTGATTGCTGTAAAGAGGGGCGGGCTGCGTTCCCATCGTCCGGCTCCAGGCCGCCTGGCTAGCTTATACCCCGAAATAATTACACGGAAACTGTATTCATTTAAACACTGCCTGGCCCATTATATCTAGCATCTTATTGGTTAACTCTCACATATTAGTTTAACCCATCTCTAATAATCTGTATGTCACTACAAGCTTGTGGCTTACCGGGAAAGAATCAGCATGTCTGATCTGGCAACTTCATGGTGGGCGGTTCTCTGTCTCTGCCGCCTTTCTCCCAGCATTCTGTTCTGTCTACTCCGCCTATCTTAGCTACTGTCCTATCAAAAGGCCAAGGCAGTCTCTTTATTTAACCAATGAAAGCAACACATAGAAAGAAGACCCTCCTATACCAGGTGATAAATATGGATCTATTTTCATTCTTCTACATACAGACATCCCTGATTTCAAGCTGTACTACAGGGCTATAGTAATCAAAGAACTGCATGATGTTGGCATAAAAAGAGACATGTTGATCAATGGAATCAACTAAAAGACCCAGACACAAATTCACACATCTATGGACACCTGATTATTTTTTTTATAAAGAAGTCAAAAATACACAAGGGGAAAAAGAGAATTTTCAATCAATGGTGCTGATCTAACTGGATGTCTAAGTGTAGAAGAATGAAAACAGATCCATATTTATCACCCTGCACAAAACTCAAGTTCAAGAAGATCAAAGACCTCAACATATAAACCAGTTACACTCAACCTGATGGAAGAGAAAGTGGGAAATAACCTTGGATGTATTGCCACAGGAGACAACTTCCTGGACAGAAAGACACTAGTAGTATAGGCACTGAAATCAACAATTAATAAAGGGTACCTCATGAGACTGAAAAGCTTTTATAAGGCAAAGGACCCTGCTAATAGTACAAACTGGAAGCTTACAGAATGGACGTGATTGTTGCCTGGGTATTTTCCCAACTGCTATTGTGTTTAAATATGCTGGCAATAAACTGCCGGGCATCAGACTCTCTAGGAGTTTAATCCAGCCTGGCAGAGTAAGCTCGGCTGAACTGAGTTTTCATTCTCACCTCTTCTTGGATCATTTACCTGCCTACCATGACACCTGTGGGGACCCCCTCACATCTTTAATTTTTTAAGCATTCATTTAATTAATTTTTGTGTTCAATCATGTCCCTATTAGCACACCACCATATGTATATGAATGAAATCCAGAGTACAAGTTGTGGGAATCTGTTTCTCCTTCCACCTGTGGACTCCAAGGAGTATATGCAGGTGGTAAGTCTTGGCAAGTTCCTTCTTCTGCCAAACCTTCTTTTATAAGAGGGACTTGTCTCCCTAAAAGGGATTTCACACAGCTCTAACAACTTATCAAACCACCTTACAGAATGGGACTGAAGCCCAAACAATGATGGGTCAATGGTGGAGCCATGTCTTGATAGGTATATGTACTATAGTATATTCATGTGAGTGTGTAACTGCACACGCCCAGGCACAGCCATTCAGAAGTCAAAACAAAATACTGTCTCCCTCTGACAGGCTCTATCTGGTTACTTGAGACAAAGTCTCTGATCCAGAAGCTTGCTATTTTAACTAGGCTGGCTGGGCCAGTAAGCTTTCAGGATCTGCTTGTATCTGCTTTTTGAGACAGGGATTATGGGCAAATGCAGCCATGCCTAACTTTACGTGGGTCATGGGGATTCGAACTCAAGTCCTCAAGCTTTCAGAATAAGCTCTTCTACCCACTGAGCCATTTGCCCAGCCTCCCAACAATGGTTTTATGGCGTTTCCATACATGTGTCATGATGCTTTGTCCTCATTCCTTCCCTCCCATGAACTCTTCAGGTTGTTTCTCCTGCTTTAGCTTCCCCAGTGCGGGGAGTACAGGTGTGTGGCATCTTGTGAAGGGGCTGTTTGCCCCGCCTCTGGACACTTCTGAGACTTGACTAACATGTGCTCCCTCTTTCCACAGATTCAGAGGTAGTCAACCACATGAGATGGTGAAATAGAACTCCCGCCAATGGAGTGAGACACAGTCAGCATCTGCTTTAGAATAAACATGAAGTGAACTTCCTGCCGCCACCACCCTTGCCTGTGCTTGCTTTCTGGTTTGAATCAGGATGCATCCTTTATACAAAAAGAAATTGTCTTGCTGGGTTGCTTTGCTTGTGTGTTTCCTTGTGTGACACTGAGAACATTCTTTTCTAATATGTTTCTGACATACAGGCTCAAGACCCTCGGACACCACACTCCACAGCTCCTCCGGCACACAAACTCCAACCTAAGTCTGAAATCCCTGCCGTGACCCTAACAGGTACTGCCCAGGCTGTGGAGACACAGTGATGCCAGCACCCAGGTGCCCTCGAAGACCCCAATGAGCACTCAGAAAGTGACAGGATAGCAGATCCCAGTTCAAAGCAACAAGACCATTGTCTCTGTCTCCAGCAGATCTCCTTCCAAAACACAGCCATGTGGTGCAAAATCTAATTGGTCTTAATAAAAGTTCAGAGTCAGATATCGGGCTAAATGTTGAAAGATCAGAGAAGCAGAGCACTCAGCCACTGGAGAGACTTTTTACCTCTACTGAATTCTCAGACCAAATGGGGTATCCTGTCTCTATGACTCTGATTGAATGGTATCTGTATGAAACCTCAAACTGAATCCTGAGCTCCCGTCTCCTCCCGCCTTATATCCCTCTCTCTGCCTAGCCATATCACTTCCCTGGGCCTGGCTTTCCAGACCTGTCACTTGCTCTTAACACTCGGGGCAATTCCTGCTTCTTCCTCTGCAAAGTGTCACAGGTATGTTCAGGGAGTTCCAGACTCCCGTGTCCATGGAGATAGCACGTGACATCAGAGAGGAAAGACCACATAGGACAGATGAGGTCACACTGGAGGAGAAGGGAGGGCTGGATGATGCTGGAGAAGGCGATTCTAAGCACCCATACAAGGAAGTGGGCAGCAGCAGAAGACTGGAAGCCCTTTGACACACCCCGGCTTCTCGCATCCAAGGTCGCATGCTTGAAAAGCCTGTTGTAGGCAAATGAAAGAAAGAATGAAAAAGGAAAGGATGTGACTGGTTCTGGGGTCTGACAGCAAATGAATGAAAAAAATAAAGAAATAAAAAGAAAGGAAACTTGACTGTTCCTAAGTATGGTGGAGAAGAAAGTTTATTATAGGCATGGGGGAGAGTCTAGCCAGAGGCGGGGACCTCTGAGGGTTCAGAGTGGACAAGAACAGACTGAGCTGGGCCTTGTGAGGAGAAGGGGGAGTGGTAGGGAAAGAGAAGAGAGAGGAACCAGGTGCAACAGCCAGGAGACCCAAAGGTACAAAGAAAGCGGGGAATCAAAATGGTTGGAATATATAGGGAAGGGCAACCCAGCCCCCTGGACTGGAATGTTCAGGGTAGACAACAGGGTATGACAGCCAGGATTAGGACTGAGGGATGCTGGCCAGGTCCACTTTGATATGTTAAATAAACATCTCAGCCATCTGTCCCAGGTTTGAAACCTAACAGTAGGAATTAGGGACAGATGGATACTGTGTAGATGACTCATAAAAGGTCATATATCTGGGACTGGAGACTTGGCTCAGTGGTTAAAAGCACTGGCTGCTCTTTCAGAGAACCCTGGTTCAATTTCCAGCGCCCACATGGCAGCTCACAACTATCTGGGAATCCTACACCTTTATACAAACATGCAGGCAGGCAAAACACCAACGCTCATGAAAGTAAATAATTTTTTAAAAAAAGTCACCTAGCCCCTTCCCCTTCCTTTTCTTGGCACTGGGCCCAAAGGAAAGATCTGACACACCCCTGAGCTCCTCTGCATCTTGTTAGACCTGAGTGGCGAAACAATACCACAACTGTTTGATTAAAGTAAGCTTTATTTAGAGATGCACCAGGAACTGGCCTGTTGGTTGTCTCTCACATTGCAGAGAGCAGCTTCTCACTGGCTTTTGAGCTCGCTTCTACAGGAACCGTTAGGGTTGATAGAAAACAGCTGTGTGGAGAAAGGAGGCAATAAACTTACGTGAAGAATACATTATATGGGAGGGGAGTCATCAAGGTATCTGGAAAGACACATTTTCCTATTACAAAGGGGAGTTGTGTATCGCAGGTTCAGGAGTTCAGCCAGGCAAAGGGGTGGCCATACATCATGGGGTCACAGGTTCAGTGTAGGTTGAAAAAGATGGTTTGCAGTATACATAGTATACATTAGGCTTAGGAAACAGAAACCTTTGTAAGGGATGGAAACACTAGCAATGAATACTGTGGCTCATTTTTTTTAAAAATTGCTTTATAAATAATACCATTCAAAATTTCCACTTCCTCCCATTTCCCTCCCGCTCACCCACTCACCCTCCCTCCTCTCCCTTCAGTCCTAAGAGAGGGCAGGGTATGCCCTGTGGGAAGTTCAAGGCCCTCCCCCCTCCATCCGGGCTTAGGAAGGTGTGCATCCTAATAGACTAGGATCCCCAAAAGCCAAATACTGTGGCTCTTTAACAAGAATGTGGCTCCTGTTTTGATTTCACAAGCTCTCCTTAAATAAGCTATCTCCTTTCTTGTACAGCTCATTGAAAAAGGCTTGAGCATCTGGAAAGTCGGTGGCTGCCTTCCAGACTCAAGTCCATGCAAGTAACACTGATAGCCCCACCTTCAGGAATTTGAAATGAGACATATTTTTTTACACATAATTTCTCAATCTCTCCATATTCAACCAAAAAAGAAATACAAACACACAAATAAATGAATATAGTTACTCCAGGCATAGAGACAGTGGCATTTGTAGAGACAAAAATTAAAACAAAAATGTTCACACTTTAATGATTAGATACTATTTAGCTTAGCCCAATGACTTGTGGGGTCATATGCAAAGATTTATAACCTACCTTCCAAATGACACATGGCCCCTGAACCCAATATCACTCTCAAGAGAGACAGTGAATGTTTTGAAATCTAGCCTCTGCCCTTCAAATACAGAACCAACAGGAACGGTTCCTGAGATAAAAGTAAATAACTTCAACAGTTGAGAGAGACATTTACTAACTCCCAGGAATTCAGTGGGGTCCCGTGAAGGGCTCTAGTAGGCCTGAGCACGGCAAATATGACTTTGGCAGTCCTTGTCCTTCTCTCCCACTCCCTCTGCCTTGCTGAACTGTTAGAGTACAGCCCTAAAGCTAGTCAGCAAGGTCTACTTCCTTACTTGGTCACTTCTTCCACCTGAGGCTGACCACCAAGGTCCAGCTCAAAGAATTGAAGTCCAGCAATCAAAAGCCCATTTTGGCTGCCCAAATTAACATGCCTGATTAAAATTAAACACCTCATCCTAACATGGGTTCCCTTCTTCCCTTTTCAAACTGACATTTGCCTCACTTGCCTATGGGCCACATCAGTCTCCTTTCTATCACGAGGACAAATATCCTTCCCCGTCTTCCTGGTCTCCCTCCCCCTCATGTTGCATGAGTTCTAATTGGTATTAGTAATAAAAAAACCCAGAGACCGATATTAGGGGATGAAAGCTGAAAGATCAGAGAAACAGAGCAACCAGGCACTAGAGATCTGACCTCTATGATTTTAAGCCTCAAACGAGAGTGAGCTCCTCTCTCTCTATCTTGCCTTTTCACTTCTTCTCTCCACCCAGCCATATCACTTCCTGTCTGTACAGGAAGTATAGATAGGAACTTTCTGTTATGGCTAACTAATGGCTAGCCCCGCCCTCTGATCTTCAGGCAAGCTTTATTTGTCTAGTACAAACAAAATATCACCACATCCTCATTCTCTGTCTCTTGTCTTTATTCCCTGTCCTTCTGAGGCAAATAAATCTCCTTTGTGCTGAGCACTTGGTCTTGGTGTGTCCTGTACCAATTCTGGTTCATTCACCCTTCTCAGGGAGTCACTGTGACTGTACAACAATGTAGTTAATAAATTTATTACTTTTGTCTTTTTGGTAAAATTCATCTTCAGCCTGTGTGTCATCAGTTTGTCAGCATTGTCCATCATTGGTGACCTCATAAGTGACCAGCATTCCACAAATGAATTGAGAGGGGAAAAAACTTTCTCAGATAAATAGACTACAAAAATGCAAGGCTGTCCTGGTTCGCCTCTCTGTTGTTATGATAAAATATTGACTAAAAACTACTCAAAGAAATGGTTTGTGCCAGCTTGCAGGTTACAGTCTATGGAAATCGAGGCAGGAGCTCATGACAGAAACCTGGAGATAGGAACTGAAGTAGAGACCATAGAGGAATGTTGCTTACTGGATTGTTCTCTAGGTTCAGGTTCAGCTGCTTGACTAGGGGTTGGTACCACCCACAGAGGGCTGGGCCGTCTCACATCAATCATTAATCAAGAAAATGCCTCATAGAATGACCGATAGACGAATCTGATGGTGGCATTCATCAGTTGAGGTTCCCTTGTCTCAGATAATCCTAGCTTGTGTCGAATTGACAAAACAAATAAAGAGACAAGCAACACCTCAAAACTAACCAGTATATAGGATCACAAGGAAAACTTACACTCATTAGGCCACACATACTAGGAGTATGTTTTGGTCTAGGGTGTGAGCGTGACTTGTTTTGTCCGAGCAACAGAATGTTTAAGTACAGGTGTAGCCTGTGGCCTTCAGCTGGTCTATTCATTTTTTTTTTTTTATCTTACTCCTACCTCTTAGGGTCGGGGTATCTTCAGCAACTGGAAATTAAACGTGGGTGATTTTGGTATTCACTGGAACTTCCTCCTGGTACTATTCTATATGTTTCTGTTTTATTATTTTTATTCGCATCTTTGTATTCTTTACTAATATTTTCAAGTCCCAACACCTCTACCCCGGTGAGTGGTAATTTTGTTGAGCCTGGTCCCCGACAGTTTCTTACTGATAAAACTTCTGAAAAGACAAAAAGGCCTTAGGAAAAAAGAAGCAATGTCCCCTAGTCTCTAGCAGACAGATCTATAAGGCTTGAAGACAGACCCAGTAATAAACCAGTGGCTCCCAACGTTCCTGATGTTGTGACCCTTTAATACAGTTCCTGGTGCTGTGGTGACTCCCAACCATGAAGTTACTTTGTTGCTTCTTCATAACTCTAATTTTGCTACTGTTATGAATTATAATGCAAATGCCTGCATTTTCCTATTGTCTTAGCTGAAAAGGTTGTTGACCCCCAAAAGGATCATGAGAGCCTAACTCCTGATGCCATCGTGCCCAAATAGCCAGTTTCTGTGAGGAAAAATGGTATTGTAAGATTTACTACTTCAAGAGAGTGAGCAGTCAGTCTGGGTGCAACTCTAATCAAAAGGCACAAGACACAAGGCCAGTAAAGTCCTCACCTGTAAAAGGCCCCGACCTTTCTTGTGGGCACGGTTCTTTTCTTTCCCTAAGAATTCACCTAGGGTGTGTCTGACCACAGTGTCTTTTCTTTTTCATCCTACAATGTCTATTTTTATTAAGATTTAAATATCACCAACTTGGCATGGTGGTGAATTTTTTTAGTTTCCTCTCTTGGTAGGTGGAGGAGTCCCATGTGAGAAAACACCTCTATAAGTTCAGGCTTTAGACAGACCTGTAAGGCACTGTGCTAATTAGTGATTAATGGGGCAGACTCAGCCCTTAGGTGGTACTATCGTGGACTGGTTGTCCTCAGTTCTATAAGAAAACAGTCTGAGCAAACCACGAAGAGTTAGTAAGCAGAGCCTCTCTATGGCATCCTGACTCCAAGTTCTGACCCAGTCTGAGTTCCTGCCTTGGCTTCCTACAGTGGACTATGAGCCAGGATATGGAAGCCAAATAAACCCTTTCTTCCCCAAGTTGCTTTTAGTCATATTGTTTCATCACAGAAGTAGTAACCCTAAGCTGGCTTGCCATTGCCACTTCTTATGCACAGCAGGATACAAAGGGAGCATAGTTCAGGTTAAATCTATGCTGTAGAGTCCTTTATTGGTTCCTAGAACCAAGAACCCATAGGAAGACTTGGACAGTGCTGGAGGATGCTATGTACACTAGTATATACTACCCACCTATGAATCCTGAGAGATACGAAAACAGCAGACCTGACAAGATAAACCCATCAGTATAACACTGGCACAAATGCTATGGAAGTAACTAACCAAACTCTAGTTGGATTTAAGGTTGGCTCTACAAGATAGAACTCATGTCTTACACAAAAACAAAGCTAGGTAGATCAAAGGCTCCATTTTGCTAAATAGATAGAGTATTAAGCCAACTCCTAAAAAGTTATTGGTATACTCACAGATTAGTACTTCTCTCACCCCTTATCATAACTTTCCATACTACATATCAGTTAGCACAGAAATCCACAAGTGGTCCAAGGGCAGAGAATGAGAATGGAGTTTTCAGTTCTAAAAGTGATATCTAGGGGTTGGAGAGATGGCTCATCAGTTTCCAGAGGTCCTGAGTTTAATTCCCAGCAACCACATGGAGGCTTACAACCATCTATAGTGGGATCTGATGCCCTCTTCCAGCAAAAAGTTCTACATGCAGATAGAGCACTCTTATCCATAAAATAAAAAATAAATCTTTAAAAACAAACAAATATCTGGGCGGTGGTGGCACATGCCTTTAATCCCAGCACTCGGAAGGCAGAGGCAGGAGGTTCTCTGTGAGTTCAAGGCCAGCCTGGTCTACAAGAGCTAGTTCCAGGACAGGCTCCAAAGCTACAGAGAAACTCTGTCTCGAAACACAAACAAACAAATAAGTGTGATATGTATATCACACACCCTGAAGGTGTCATTACCTAAAAGTCTTAGGTGGCTTGAGAAATTCTAGACTGGAAAGCTGACTTGACTGGTAACACCTGTAGAAGCTCCTATATATAAGCTTTATGTATAAGGAAATCCACACACCAACCCTCTGATATCCACCACTTTAAGACTGCAGGGGAACTGACTTGTAGATGGAACTTTCCATCCCCCAACTCCCTCTTTTCCATCCTATAAAACCTCCAAGCACCCACAGCAAGTCTCTCCCAGACTATTTCTTCAGTTGTTCTGATTAAACGAACAGTCCTGTGTCTAGAGATGCCTGCCTCTCTTTATTTTCACGTCATCTCCATCAATCCTGATCTAACCCTCCCTCCTTCCAAGGCTCAGCTGGGGGGAGAGGTTCGTCATGGGAGAGGGGGGGAAAGAGTGCAAGAGGCAGAGGCAGTGGACAATTACAAGGAAGCAGTGTTTTCCAGGCCCAGTGGAGCAGCTCAGCCTATGGACTCGTGGCAGCTGGGACAGTATGCGCAAGACCTGCCCATCCTCAGGCAACCCCACAAAAATCCCAGCCTGGAGAGGCAAGCTTAGCATAAAGTCCTGCCCAAGTCCAGGAGCTATTGACAGCTAGTCACAGCTCGGAGTCAGGTTTTCTTTAAGGGTGTGTGCCTAGTGATGATCATGCTCCGGCAGATGCCCAGACACCCAAGTATATGGCTAGCACAAATAGGATCCTACAGATTTGAAAAATTAGTGCAAAAAGTTGAATGGGTATGGAAAACAGATTAGATCTGGGTGAAGTTGAAGGAAGGAGACAAAGATGATCAAAATACATTGTATTAAATTCTCAAAGCATCAATTTCAAAATTAACAATATAAAATCAATATAAAACATTAAAATATTTTTGTGCATCAAAGAGAATGAAAGTGTACACAAAATGATCAGAATCTGCTACATGAAATAAACAGGGAAGTCATGTTATTCAGAAAAAAATAATAAATCACCATTAATCACAATGGTTTAAAATAAGGTATTATTTCTGAGTTCTGACCTATTACAAATAAATATCAACTCACTAATGAGCTCAACATAGTTTAAAATAACAGGATAAATAACTATCTAACTGGATTTTCAAAAAGTCACTTTTTAAACTTATGTAATATTATTATAACAAAGCTTACAAAAATGTGTTACGTTAGTGCCCTTCATTTTATTTTTTGTGCTTTATCCAGATGTAGGTCTCACTGTTATCCATTTTCTGATTTTAAAAAATCCTTTCATCTAACCTAGTCAGATAAAAACTTAATTCTCTAGAGCAAAAATTAAAATACGGAGACCAGAAATACAATTTAAGAATGAGTTAAGGCTGGAGAGATGGCTCAGCGGTTAAGAGCATTGCCTGTTCTTCCAAAGGTCCTGAGTTCAATTTCCAGCAACCACATGGTGGCTCACAACCATCTGTAATGAGGTCTGGTGCCCTCTTCTGGCCTGCAGGCAAACATGCAGACAGAATATTGTATACATAATAAATAAATAAATATTTTTTTTTAAAAAAAAAGAATGAGTTAGCTGTGGCTCAGCACACAGAAGACAAAGACAGGCAGCTCTCTCTGAGTTTGAGGCCAGCATGGTCTTCAGAGTGAGTTCCAGGACAGCCAAGGCTATATAAACAGAGAAACCCTGTTGTGAAAAACAAAACAAAGGAATAAGAAAGAAAGAAAGAAAGAGAGAGAGAAAGGGGGGAGAGAGAGAGAGAGAGAGAGAGAGAGAGAGAGAGAGAGAGAGAGTATGTGTGTGTGTGTGTATGTGTGTGTGTGAAAGAGAGAGAGAAGAAAGAATTCCTATGTTTGTGAGCAATATGGGAAAGTCTTCAAATGTCTGGGTAGCTTTCAAAGACATAAAAAAGTTCACACTGGAGAAGAAACCCTATCTGTACAAACAATGTGGGAAAACGTGTCTACAGTCCTGCTTAATTAAAAAGACATTGGAAAACTGGGTGATAGTGGCGCACGCCTTTAATCCCAACAGGCGGGAAGCAGAGGCAGGTGGATGGATCTATGTGGGTTCTAGGTCAGCTTGATCTACAGAGAGAGTTCCAGGACAGGCTCTATAACCACACAGAGAAACCCTATTTCATAAAACAAAAAACAAAACAAAACCAAAAACAAACAAACAAAAAAGACATTGGAAAGTTCACAACAGAGTAGAATTTTTCATGTGTAGTTTTTGAACAAAAAGCTCCTCCAAATGTATGGAAGAAGTCACACTGAAGAAAAACTCAATGACTGCAAGCAATGTAGGAAAGCCTTCTGTAGTTCCAATCTTTGCGAAGACATAATAAAGGTCACATTGCCAAGAAGCCAATGCATATATTTATTGTAGAGAGCCATTGGTTCTTCCATTTCCCTCCAAATACATGCAAGAATTCACAGTGTAGAGAAGCCTTTGGTATGTACACAGTGTAGAGAAGCCTTCAGTTCTAGTTCTTACCACAGACATGAACGAATTCAAAGAAAGCATACTCAACAAATGGTGCTGGCATAACTGGATATCAACATGTAGAAGAATGAAAATAGATCCATATCTATCACCATGCACAAAACTCAAGTCCATATGGATCAAAGACCTCAACATAAAACGAGCCACACTGAACCTCATAGAAGAAAAACTGGGAAGTACACTTGAACACATTGACACAGGAGACCACTTCCTAAATATAACCCCAGTAGCACAGACACTGTGAGAAGCAATTAATAAATGGGACCTCCTGAAACTGAGAAGCTTCTGTAAAGCAAAGGACACGGCCAACAAGACGAAATCGCAGCCTACAGAATGGGAAAAGATCTTCACCAACCCCACATCAGACAGAGGGCTGATCTCCAAAATATATAAAGAACTCAAGAAATTGGTCATCGAAAGAATAAATAATCCAATAAAAAAATGGGGTACAAACCTAAACAAAAAACTCTCAATAGAGGAATCTAAAATGCCTGAAAGGCACTTAAGAAAATGTTCAACATCCTTAGCCTTCAGAGAAATGCAAATCAAAACTCTGAGATTCCATCTTACACCTGTAAGAATGGCCAAGATCAAAAACACTGATGACAACTTATGCTGGAGAGGATGTGGGGTAAAGGAAACACTACTCCATTGCTGGTGGGAATACAAACTGGTACAGCTGCTTTGGAGTTCAGTATGGCGATTCCTCAGAAAATTAGGAAACAACCTACTTCAAGACCCAGCAATGCCACTTTTGGGTATATACCCAAAGGATGCTCAATTGTACCAGAGAGTAACCTTAAAGACAGAATTTGTTATGTCTTGATTATCACTTTCGTAACTCCCATAAGGACACTCATGGCGAGATTACTTCTTGAATTAATTCAAAGGTTAAGGACGTGGTATGGAGAGCAAGTTTGATAAATATCTTAAAAGTCTCCATTTGGTACAGATGTGAAAATGCATTTCTAGATGAAAACTTATTCTTGTCAAAACGTGGAAGTCATGAGCAGTAGCACATATTGGGACCCCACCCTCACCAGTCACCCTCACCTGGTCCCATCCCTCAGTGATGTGGGTGATGGAGAGCTGTCCCCACCCCTTGCCAGCCAAGGGAGAGCTTGCCAAACCTCGGTCACAGGAACTGCACAGAGGTATCAGGCTGTGGCATGGGCTGTACCACTCCTTGCCAGGCTGTGTAGGAGAGCTGGTCTCACCCCTTGCAGTGGGTTGGGGGCAATGGAGACACAGGTTGACTAACTCAGCTACCACCCAGATAGATCTAGGGCTTTTGAGTTGGCCAACCCCAACATCCACCCCACCTATGAGCTACTAGAGTATGCTAAGGGGTCAGTCCTACAGAGGATATCCATGACTCGGGCAACAGCTCGATATCTGAAAGGAGTCTCCGTGAGGGTCCAGTATCCACTGTGTGGCAGAAGCCAGAGATCCTGAACCCGATCAGCAACTCATTGCAATGAAAGCTGTTCGATCAAACAGGATACTGCATTATAATCACAGCTTCCACTACAGAGGAAGAACATGTGATGGAGGGGCAGGGAGGATGGAGTAGCCAAGCGATACAAGTATGGCGGGACTGGAGACTCAGCCATGACTGGTATGAGAAAGAGGGCTGTGATGGATAGAGAAGCAGAGATCCAGCTGCCTTTACCTCCTGAGTGCTGGGATTAGAGGCATGCACCACCACCACCTGGCCTGGAATTCTCCTCACTAGGAATTACTTCATATCTTTGTGATTGCTTCATAGACAAGAAAGCTTTCTCAAATACCTTACATACGTAGGGCTTCTTACCAGTGTGAATTCTTCCATGGTCTTTTAGAATACTGGAAAGAACAAAAGAATTCTTACATTGTTTACATACAAAGAGTTTCTTTTGACTGTGACATTCTTCATATCTTTGAAAGGAGCTGGAAGAAACGAAAACTTTCTCACGTTGCTTATATTCATGGTGTTTTTTTTTTCTCTAACCAAAGTACTTTCATGACGTTGACCATATCTAAAATACCAAAAGTATCTCATCACAGTGATTTTTCAAGGATTTTCTCTGGTCTAAATCCCCTTATGCTTCTGAAAGGACATGGGAGAACTGGAGATGTTCTCAGATTCCTTATGTTTCTACAGTCTCTTTCCATTTTCTTGCTCTTCATATAGTTTGTATGCTGGGAGAGCCATGAAGAGACCCTTAGAGATAAATAGCCAGTGCCTATGTCTCCACATACTCTGTTTTCACTTACGGATATTCTGGATGTAATTTTCGAGTCCAACTTTCTTAGGTTGAAAATTCTTGCCCACTGATGACCTTCTTTACATCCACATGGTTTCTCTTCCAAATGATTGCTGCAAAATGAAAAGAAGACATTATTAAGATTTTGGTTATTAATGAGTCACTATATAAAAATGATAACATGACCTGTAAATTTTTAGCTATTCAGATTATATGCTCTGCAAAAATGGTTTAAGCATAGGTAAACAAAAAGTATAATATTCATGTGCTGTTGTATTATATATCATCTTCATGTCTGGCAAAAATTGAATGTCTACTTCACATTTAAATACGCAACATTGTACGTATTTTTTTGTTTGTTATCTGTTTGTTTGTTTCCAAGACAGGGTTTCTCTGTGTAGCCGTCCTGGCTGTCCCTGAACCTGCTTTGTAGACCAGGTTGGCCTTAAACTTACAGGGATTCATCTGCCTCTGCCTCCAAAATGCTAGGATTAAAGGTATTCACCATCAATGCCTGGCCTATTGTGCACATTTTTGGTGCACAATTTGAGTGGCAAAAGTTATGGTGGATTTGGGTATTGATATCCATTAGCATGTTGGTAATTAGTCCAGTTCTAAAAATATGCATTTTATTTTTATTTTGTATATGCCTTATACCTAAAGTTTACAGATGAATTAACATAACATCTTAAACAATGTGTACAGAATGAAGTTTGTGTTTGTCTATATAAGAAAGCATCGCTTTCAGCATCATGATATTCTAGTTGCTTCCAGTATTGGAACACTTGGGATACTCCGATTGTTGAGTCTTAATATTCATGCAGTTTTAGAGAAAATTACTCAGGATTAAGTCACTTTGAAGTTGAGTATATTTGTCCTTTACTTTTTTCTGAAGTATCTTATACCAAGATTCTGGGGAACTAATATTGTCTCCTATGGGAAGGAATTACCTAGTTTTTACCAGTGATGTTGGTATTAATTTTCATTGTTTTCATGTTCTTGTTTATTTCTAAAAACAGACCTAGAGAAATCATCAGAAATGATGCTATTATAAAAATATTATCATAGAAAAATATAAGATTCTAGCTAAATTCACAGTATAGAGTGATTCACTTGACATATTTTCCCAAATGCTTCTTTATCATATTTCGATCCATGAGGCAGCACTGATGAGCCAGAAGTGCTTCTTCTTTCATTAAGGCAACAATATTATCTTTACCTATGAAGACCAGGTTCCTCAAGGATGCTACATCACATCTTTATAAAGCTCCTTTTGGTTTGGAGCCAGCATAGTCCACTCCCCCAGGTGAAGTTCACAGCCGCATCCTTAAAGGCCACTGACTCCTGAATAAGCAAATGTATGCTGCCTTAAGAGTGAGCCTCAGACTACAGGAGATCCAGACTTAATTCCTAAGAAGGTGACATGGCTTTATGTTCTATACCTGCTCAAGTCCCATCCTGATCATCATTCTTGTGGTGGGTTGGATAGGAATGGCCCCCATAGACTTATATATTTGAATGTCTTGTCACTAGGGAATGGTGATACTTGAGAGCAATAGGGAGCTGTGGCCTTGTTGGGGTAGGTATGGCCTGGTTGGAGGAAGAATGTCGCTGAGGGTGGGTTTGGGGGCTTCAAACGCCCAGGCCAGGCCCAGTTCTCTCTCTTGCTGTTTCCTGAGGATCTGGATGTAGAGTTCTCAGCTCCTTCTCCAGCACCTTGTCTGACTACACACCACCATGCTTTCTGCCATGATAACAATGAACTAAACCCCTGAAGCGTAGGCAAGTCCCAATGAAATGTTTTTCTTTATATGAGTTGCTATGGTCGTGATGACTCTTCACAGCAATAGAACACTGACTGAGGCCATGTTCTTATTATTTATACATCTGAAGAATCTCTCACACAGCAATTCTAACCGTTTATTAGAGATCTCGGGTAAAGCAACAGCAGAGCAGGATCATGCTTTGTGCTGGTAGTTTCTAGTTTTTCTTTGTATACTGGGTCTGTTTTACAACTTTCATGACAAACTGTGGCTACCAGATGCCTACAGGAGCAACAACAGCAGCAACAAAAGAACCCACCTATTGTGAAATTGCAGTCTTGAAAATTCCAGAGAAAAATGCTTTCTCCCTCATTTGGTGTGTTGGTAAGCCTTTACTATCAACACACCTAAGGTTACCTGGGAAGAGAGTTTCACTGAGGGGAAACCATTGGGTTGATTTGTGAATGTGTCTGTGGGGGATTATCTTAATTAGGTAAAGCAGTGCAAGGAGAGGCAGTCCACTGTGCGCAGCACCATTCCTTAGGCAGACAGGGATGTACTGAATTGTGCAAGAGTAAAGCAATCGGACTGAGCACAAGCAAACAGGGACGTGAACTTTTATGGATTTGCTTTCCTCTGCCTTTGAGTGTGAAAGTGATGTGATTAGCTATCTGAACTTCCTGCCTCGAATACCCCACCTAACCCAAGCTTCGCTACGTGTGTCTGTCTGTGTGTTTGTCCTTTCTTATTTCCCTTTCCCTCCCTAGTCAGAAATCTGAGGTTCAAGTTAGAGAGAATATAGGGAAATAGCAGATCTAAACGAAATGAAAGTTTTTGTTGGTGATGGTGGTTTTTTTTGGGGGGGGGTTGGTTGGGTTTTTGGGGTTTTTGTTTGTTTTTTGTTTTTTGAGACAGGGTTTCTCTGTGTAGCTGCGACTGTACTGGAACTCACTCTGTAGACCAGGTTGGCCTCGAAAGACCAAACCGGATGTGGCTTGAGTCTTTAAACTCTCAAATCCCACTTCCAGAGACATACTTTCTCCAACAAGGCCCTAACTCATAAACATCTTCCGAAACAACCCTACCAATTGGGGACCAAATATGAGCCTGTAAGGGACGTTCTCATTCAAACCACCACACCTGCTCTGTTAGCTTTCTCTTAAATTCTAATATAGTTGTCTTTGTGTCATTTTTTTAATTTTTGGAACACAGGGTTTCTTTGTGTAGCCCTGGCTGTTCTGGCACTGGCTCTATATACCAGGCTGACCTCAGACTCACAGAGATCCATCTGCCTCTGCCTCTCAAGTGCTGGGATTAAAGGTGTGTGCCACCACTAAGATATGAGAGAGAGAGAGAGAGAGAGAGAGAGACAGAGACAGAGACAGAGAGACAGAGAGACAGAGAGAAAGACTAAGATATGAGAGAGAGAGAGAGAGACAGAGACAGACAGAGAGAGAGAGCAAATGCCAATGCCTCAGTTTCCCCAATAACATAGCCCTAGGCAACCTTGTGGATCAAACACTTGGGCTTTCTCTTACTGGAACACACCTTTCCCGTACAGTCATGGCTTACTTCTACCAAGACTTCACACTTTAATACAATGTGTTAATCCAAGTGTTATGGCCCACACCTTTATTCCCAGAATATGGTGAAGCAGAAATAGGCAGAGTTCCAGGCCAACCAGGGCTACATAGCGAGATCCTATCTCAAAAAAAGTAAAATGTCTAAAACCAGTCCAAGGGCTGATCCCCGTCATCCATGGATGTGGCAGTCCATTGGCACTTAGTTTAGCAATATTGGAAATTCAGGTAATTGTTGCTAGTTCTAAGAGTCACTGCGGTAAAGGCACAGGCCAGTAATATTTAGAAAGCATCCCTGGAATCTGCGAGAGTCATAGTAAAAGCAGGGGCCACTGATATGACGGAGGGACAGGGTGAGGAAGACAGGCTGACGGCTCAGGGTTACTCTACGCTGTAGGAAAGATCGGCTTTGTTGCTGTGTCAAGCCTAGAAGTAATGGTTCCCTTGATTAAGTAACGGTCTTAACCTGATTTACTTCATTTTGGTAGAACATGTGTCAAGAAAGATGAACCTTGTATCTTGCTTACACGAGTAAACAGCCACCCTCTGGCACAAAGATACAAACTCAACAACTATTCATATCAAGAAATAGTATCTGAAAATATTTAAGATCATATCAGAAACTCCAGCCGGGTGAGCTTACCAACCAACCACACAACATGTAATCCCTTTATCCGAGGCAAAAAAAAAAAAAAAAAAAAGGACTACCCCAAGCCCAAAGTGTGCAGGCGCTGAGTGATCTGGTCAACTGCCAAGATCGGTTCCATAGAGCTTCTCCTGCCGGGGACACGCTTCCCACACACGCTGCCCCCTCTGCACCTTTTCCTTGCTCCAGTCTCAGCTCTGGGCCACCGACTTTAAGACAGAATCTTTGGTCTCTGCCACCTGTTTAACCCTTTCTTAGCCATTCTGTGACCGGCACGATTGCATATAATTGTGTGAAACATTCATGTGTCATCTGCCAGGAAATATTAGAGATTAGATTTGTTACAAGATCATCTCTGGTGGCCACCAGGCTAGCACGCAAAATATGGCAACGAAACAGACACACATTTTATTATTCCGTTTACCGGTCTCACATAAGAAAAAAAAAAAAGTCAGGACCGAGGATCACCACACCTCCGGAGCTTAAACCGCAAACTGACTGCAAATCTCCTCACCCGCTCCGCCACTACCACGCAGACACCTGGGATGCGGGTGGCGAGCACCCAGCTGCTTAGAGAGCCCGCAGCACTGAAAGCTCAGAGAGGGACAGGATGGTGGCTCTGCCTGCTGGCTCAGCTCCTCCCAGTAGGACCCGGCCCAGGGAAACCAGACTACTGCTCCGCAGAGGTTGCTTCCCCACTGCCGCCGCCGCCTCCTCATACCCAGGACGCCCAGCAGCAGGCACCACTAGGTGTCCTCAGATCCTCCTTTAACTCTAGCAGCGGATGGACGTGAGGCTGACAAGGAGGGAGAAAACCTGGAATCTCTTTTGGTCTTGGATGGACATTTAATAGAGTACAAAAGTTGGCATCCCACGAGTTTTTGCAGCACGTCTCTCTTAAAGCCAAATCTTCTGGTTGTACAGTTTGCACAATAATCACCTATCGAGTAGTAATTTATGGGTCCTATTCCTAGTGGCAGGAGACTGCATTACAGATTCTATGCACAAAAGTCCCGGTCTGCCAGAGGGAAAAGCATTTGCTCACAGAACTTTGTCCTGGCTTCAAAGCAGCTATCATTTCTGCTTCTTGTTAAAGTGGTAGGGTCAAATGTTGGGGGCCCCGCGTATTTTATATTATCATAACACCTTTATATTTCATTCTGTAGGAAGGGGTCTACAGCACACACGGCTAATAATTTGTTTCATGTTTTTTCCCCTAAAAAAATGCCACATCCTATGTTCACCAGACAAACAAACGACCCAGTAGTCTCTAAGAGGACCACCACAATAAGTCTCCATGATACAATAAATGAAAACAGAGAGTAAGGCAGAAAATCATTAGAATCTTCATCCCTCCGAAGTAAGAGCTCAATGTAGCAAGTAGGAAGGAATGAAGTTAAGAGAGAAAGGGAAAATACAGAGGAAACAGGAAAGGAAAAGAGCCCTTCAGAGGTGATCTGGTTCAGATCTCTCACCAGGGAGTTAGGAATTTCAACACGGGAGCCAGGTGGCTTAGTGGTAAGCCACCAACCCCTGCAGAACAACCCAAGCTCACTCTCTAGGACCTACATTGTGGAAGGAGAGAACTGACTCCTGAAAGTTGTCCTTTGACCTCCACGTGAATGCTGTGACAAGCACACATGCCTGCATGTGCACATACACATAAATACACAGTAAAATAAAATATAATATAAAAAGAAAAGAATTCCAGTACTCTTTCCATTTTTTTTTGTGAAGGTTGTCTATACCAAGACAATATTTTGGGTCAAAACAATTTTTAAAAGATTTATTTATTTTATGCATGTGAGTGTTTTTCCTGCATGTATGTATATGTGCCAAATGTGTGCCTGGTGCCCAAGGAAGTCAGAAAAGGGTGTCAGAAATCCGGGAACTGAAGTTGCTAATGGCTGTTAATTTTTTGAGGCAACAGAAAAAGACAGAACCTTTTAGCATATAGGACTGTGTTTATTGGTGTACACAACAAGGGTGCAGACTCCCTTCCAGGACGTTGGGTCTGGATGAAAAAAATAAAAAGAAAGAAAACAGATGTTCTTGATTCTTTTAGGGGCAGAAATAGTTGTACCTTGACTAAGAAGACATGCTCTTAACCACAGAGCCATCTCTCCATAGAGAGAATATTCTTTTTCTATAGAGATATTTTGAGATAAAAATATTAAAAGAGCAGTGAATCAAGCTTTAGGTATGAATATATATGACCTTGAGTATGTCCTGTCCCATTACTACATATATTTCTGTCCCAGATATTTTATGGGACTCTCACAAGCAAGACTATTAACTTCTAATTGTAAATAATCTGGTTTTCTTATGCAACCCCTGTGTTTCAAGGATTTACTTTGTCAGATCCTGTCCTATCCAATATGCCTCAGAATCTATTCTGTGATCTCTCTTATAAAAGATTTACTATAAGTATTATTTATTATTATTATTATTATTGGTGATGTTGGTGGTGATGTGTGTGCGCATGTGTATGCATGTGTGCTGATGTTTGCAGAGGCAAGACGAGGACATTGGATCCCCTGGAGCTGGTGGTGATGTGTGTGCGCATGTGTATGCATGTGTGCTGATGTTTGCAGAGGCAAGACGAGGACATTGGATCACCTAGAGGTGGCTGTGAGTTCCCCAGTGTAAATGCCTGGAAACTGACCTTGCAAGTGTTTTTAATTGCTGAGCCATCTCTCCAGTCCTCACTCTGTAAGTTCATTTAAATTCTGTGCAACCTTTGAAGATATAACTAAAGAACACATTATAATCACATCTATTGCTATTGTAAAGACAATTAAGTGTGTATTCTCCCTTGAGAAGTTTGCACCCAGTCTTGAATATATCTTATTCTTTTCTCTTTCTAGTAACCCTATTGCTTAAATTTATTTGAAACAGACAAACAAAAAATGAAAAAAGCACTTGTTCTAGTCAAGCAGAGTGGTGCAGCCTTTACTCCTAACACTTGGGAGGCAGATGGATCTCTGTAAGTTTGAGGCAAACCTGGTCAACATAGTAAGTTCCAGGACAGTCAGAGCTACACAGTGAGACCATGTGCTGTGAGCCACAAGCATTATACAGCAAATGTACAGCTGACAGATCAGTAAACAAACTCATGGGAGTGTATCTCCTCGAATGAGGAACCTGATTTGCAGAGCTTCGGGAACACCTGTCTTTTGGATAGTCACTGTCGGTTCTATAGAAATCTTGTGACGTCATGGCTCTTCTCCCTCTCATAATGGGATTCATCCTGAACTGTCCCCTAAGTGTATAAATCATTTGATGAGATAATTTCTTTCTGTCTGGGCAACTTGATGACCTCTTCCACACAGTGGGCAGTCAACCCTGCATAAAGCTAGTCCCCCACAATTATCCCTATTGACAGGACTTATTGACAAGACAGGAGACCTGAGCAGAGAGACAATATGTTACAGTTGTGTAGCTTGGGGTTCGTGTGGGACTCCTAACAGTGGGAACACGGATTGTCTCTGACTCTTACCTGCTATTGGGACCCAGTCATCCTGGGTTGCCTCGTCCAGCCTTAATTGGAAAGTAGGTTCCTAGTCTTACTGCAATGTGATATGCTATGACTGGCTGATATGGGAGACTTACCCTTTTCTGAAGAAAAAAGAGGAGGTGTGGATGGGGAGGAGTCAAGTTGGGGGGAGGGACTGGGAAGAGAGGAGGAAAAAAAAAAGCATTGTCTTGGTGTTAGAGCCTGTGTGACTCCAACACAGATAACTATTTTCCCTAACTGGACTGGTACGAAGGCGCAAGGAATAATTAGACACAGCTTACACAGTCATCGCGGAAAGGGCATTTCAGGCTTCTTCTTCCTCAAGATGTCTTCGTGCTTATTATCCAAGCAGCTTTTATATCCACACATAAACTGAGCGGGGGGGGGGGGACGTGAGGGGATACACCAGCATTCTGTCTCCTCGGCAACCAGGTGAATGGCCTTTTGTCACATCCGCATCTACCTGTCTGCTGAATATGCTAGCTGTCATGTAGGCTTGAATTAGCATCTCTATAAGGCATCCTCCAAATTACAAAGGAAGGAGCAACAACATCCTGACCTTTTGTTAGGTAGAAACAGCCTGTCTGCAGGTCTACATGACCACCTCAGGTGGGCCTCTATGGCTTTAGCGCCTGGCAGCCACCATATAGAAATATGGGCCTACACCTTGGTCATGATGTCTCTTCATAGCAATAAAACCTTAACTAAGACAATGACCTTGATTGCATGACATCTAAAAAAATTAAGTTATAAAGATACACCATATCTGAGAGCAAGGCCATTTTCCAATCTTCTTTGCCATATGTTCTTTCTGAAGATCAGGTGACTTCACAGGTATAAGTACTGAAATGGACTCTTAGGTTGTTTCTTTCCAATGGTAATTCTCAGGAGCTAAAATTGGTTTGGGCCGGTGAGATCACTCAGCCTGCCTACTGACCAGCCTTACAACCTGTGTTTGATATCCTGAAGCTGAAAGACCTGGATAAATCCAGATCCCCCTAACAGGAAAATAGAGCCAAAAATCTAGCAGGAAGAGAAGAATCAGAAATCTAAGGTTAACCAGTTCCAGGGTTCCAGGAACTAGCTGAAGATAAAGGTGGATTGTAATCTTGAGAGTAATCTTGAGAGACAAAGAGAATCCCCCTAGTAATTGTCACCCCCTAGTAATTATCACCGGAATAGGAACTAGCTGATTACAACCTTTGAGAATGATCTTGAGAGGCAGGGAATTGCCCCTTTGTAATCATCACTGGAATTTTCAGAATCTTCTGTGACATCCTCCCTGCCCCCCCTTTCGGATTACTGGGCTATGTGGTTTCTTCCTATAAAAACTACTTCTCCCGGTCACTCAAGGTCGAACTCTTCCCCTGCGTGGGTTATGAGTCTCGGCCCCAGTGCACTGGTCCCTGTCTTGTTGTCTTGTCATTAAACCTCGTGTGATTGCAGCAAGGACGGTCTCTCGTGAGTTACTGGGGGGGGGGGTTGCATCTTCCCGAGGCTCGAGTGAGAGTCTCCCCAAATTGGGGGGTCTTTCAAAGCTACGTGCTGGTAAGAGAACAAACTCCTGCAAATTGTACTCTGACCTCCTTGAGGAGTGTCTTCTCTTTAAGAACAGATGTCAAGCTTGTTCACTTTCATCAGTCAAACAGTGGTACAACGTCAAGAAGTTGGGACATTTGCTTCCTACCAGTCTTCAGACTGCTGTAGGGGAGGCTCCATGAGGAGATGTGTGGTTATATTTTGTTTGTGCTGTAACAAGTAAAGCTTGCCTGAAGATCAGAGTGTGGAGAGAGCCACACTAGTTAGCCACAGAGACCAGGCAGTGGTGGTGCACACGTTTAATCCCAGCACTCAGGAGGCAGAGGCAGACAGATCTCTGTGAGTTACCCTGGGTTACACTAGATTGATCCAGTCTCAAAGAGAAACAGAGCCAGGTGGTGGTAGCTAATATCTTTAATCCCAGTACTTGGGAGTCACATGCCTTAAAATATCAGCACTAAGGAGTAAGGAGGTGGAGACAGGAAAGGATATGGATAGGTGGAGAGAGGAATATAAGGCAGGAGGAGAGAGGAGCATGGCATTCAGTCTGAGGATTCGTGGAGACAGGATCTTGCCCACTTTGGTCCGAGGATTCAGTAGAGGTTTTAAAAGGTCTCTCTAGCATCTGGCTCCTTTACTTCCCTGATCTTTCAACATTTATCCCAATATCTTTCTGTGGGTTTTATTATTAAGATCAGTTAGAACATGAGCCACAGAATGGAATCTACATCACCTACGGGTCACAAAGTTGTTGATTCTGATAGGTGTTCCAAACACGAAAGAGAAGCCTACACATCCAATGCAGCTTCAAGGTAGAACTGACTCTTGATGTGGTTCTCGGCTCTTGGATACCAGCCTAGAAAGAATTACAAGACTCTACTTCAGACTCACTTCCTCCCTTTTAGGTAAGATTTCACTACTAGAAAACATAGGCAGAATGGCCCCCATAGGCTCAAGTATTTAAATGCTGGATCCGTAGTTGTTGAAACTGTTCTGGGGAAGGAATTGATGTGGCCTTTGTTAGAGGTATGTAAGACCATACCAGAGCCAGTCTCTCTCTCTCTCTGTCTCCTGGATGTTAACATGTAAACTCTCACCTACTGCTCCAGTGCCATGTTTGCCTGTCTGTCACTGTGCTCTTCACCATGACGGTCATGGATACAACCTCTGAAATTATAAGCAGGTCCCCAATTAAATGCTTTCTTTGTAAGATGTTTTCATCATGGTGTCTCTTCACAGCAATAGAAAGTAACTAAAACACACAGTGTTGGGTGATTTTTCCTGGGAAAAGATGCACAAATAAATGTCTACTTACCTACGTAGGGAATCAAGAATGAACCAAAGTAATGATTCCAACAAAGGATGGGTGAATCAAAGCTAGCTAGCTGCATTGCTAAAGGTATCAGAACAAGTGAAGCTTTTCCCGCAACACTTGTATTTTAAGTTTTCCTCCACTGTACATCCTTTCATGGAAGTGAAAGGAACTGTAATGAGTGGAAGCTTTCCCAGTGTTTGCATACGGAAATGTTCTCGCTAGTGCTATTTCATCTTTTAGAAGGGAAAAAGAACAAGCAAAAGTTTCTCCATACTGCTTACACACAGGGATTCTCACCGGTGTGGCTTCTTCCATATGATTTTAGAGAACTGGAACAAGTGAAGACTTTCCCGCATTGTTTCCATACATGAGGTTTTTCTCCAGTGTGTATTCGTTCTTACACTTCAAGGTAAGTAGAAATAATGATGGCTTCCCGCAATATTTGCATTTGCAGGATTTCTTTTTACTGTGTATGCTACCATGGAAGTGATGTAAACTGAAATCAGTGAAAACTCTTCTACATTGTGTGCAAAGATAAGATTTCTCTCCAGTGTGAATTCTTTCGTGCGTTATCGGAGAAAAGGAAGGATTAAAGGTTTTCCTACACTGCTTCCACACAGAGAGCTTCTCACCAGTGTGAATTTTTCTATGTGTTTTTAGGGAACTGCAACAAGTGAAGCTTTTTCCCACATTACTTACAGACATAAGGATTCCCACCGCTGTGAATTGCTTCATGTTTTTGTAATTGATACGACAACAAGAAAGCTTTTCCACACTGTTTACATATATAAGGCTTTTCTCTAGTGTGAGTTTATGTATTTAAAGGGGAGTAGACGTAATTAAGGCTTTCCCACAATGCTTACACGTGAAGGGATTTTCTCCATGGTGGATCCTGTCACAAGATATGAAGTATAAACAGAAAAAAATTTTCACATTGTTTACATGCAAAAAGTTTCTCTCCAGTTTGAATTCAACCATGTCTTTGTAGGTCATAGGAATGAGTGAAGGCTTTCCCACATTGGCTACATACATGGAATTTCTGGACAGGGTAATGCTATTTAAACTTTTGAAAAGACTCCAAAGAACTGAGGATTTTTCCATATTGCTTACATATTTCTTCAGTGGAAGTCCTTTCATAATTTTCATCGAATCTGAAGTCTTCATCACAGTGCTTATTTTTATACAATTTCTTTCCATATTCCTGATCGTCATATGATCTGTGCCCTGTATTGGGTTTAAGGTGTATACTTAGTGATAAATGGCTGATAAGTACTTTTGCACACTCATTCCTATCATAGCTATATGCTCATGAGTAAGAGTTCTGATTTATGGGGCTAGAGAGATAGGCCAATGTTTAAGAGCACCGGATGTTCTTCCAGAAGACTAGGGTTCAATTCCTAGCACACATATGGCAGCTCATAACTGTCTGCTATTCTACTTCCAGGGGATTCAACCCCCTCACAAAGACATACATGCAGGCAAAATGCCGAGGCATATTAAAGTAAAAGTAAATAATGTTTTTTAAAAAAGGAAGTATGAGCCAGATGATCGTGATGCATGTCTTTAATCCCAGCACTTGGGAGGCAAAGGCAGTCAGATCCCTGAGTTCAAGGCTAGCCTGGTCTACAGAATGAATTCCATGACACCCAATACAGAGAAACTCTGTCTGTAAAAACAAACAAAACATACAAACAACAAAAAAGAGTTCTGATTTACAATACCCTCAGTAGAGAAGTTAAAGATTCTTGCATGCTGATAATCTTTTCTGGATCCCCAGAGTTTCTCCACCAGTTGACTTCTGCAGAAAGCAAAGGTGCATTACATTTTTCTTGTTAATGATTTACTAGTAAAAATGTTGGTTTCACGAGCTGTGAGAATTTTTGAATATGTCTTCACTGAATGATCTGCAACTTGATTTGAGGGCAGCTACAATAAAATCAATGGTATTTGTGAGTGGTTGTGTAATATTACTTCCATGCCAAGCAAAAACATCTATGTCACACTTAATACAAATTTAACACCCAATACCATGCACAATTTGATCCACATTAATGGCCAAAATCATGATGCATTTGGAATTATGTATAAAATGAGAGGTCTTAACAATTGGTCTCTGTCTAAAAAAATCTTATTTTTGTTTCATGTACCTTAGAACAAGGTTTGTAGGTAAATAACTATTTTAATTTTAATACTCTATGGAGTAAAGTTGGTATGTGTGAAGTATGGCGAAGTATAATCTTTGGCATTGTGTTTCAATCGTTTTCCTGTACAGGAATATTTAGAATGTTTTTCTGCTGATGCTAAACATGTTTGCAGTTTTGCCAAAAACTCCCTGAGCTTAACTGGGTTTGAATCTTGATGCATGTATCTTTTATCTTTTTGGTAACAAGTGTGATCACAACATAGCTCTTAGGGAATGTGCATCTCTCCCGAGACACAAGTTATCTTGGTTTTATCCATAGATTCTGGATTCTGGCTATTTATCTTCAATGTTTTGGTTTTTCCATGTTTTGTAGAATACAGAGAAACCATTATGAATTATTATGTTATAGTGTAAATATGAACAGATTTTAAACAAATTTATAGTATATGATGATCCCATCTAACATATTCATTAATGTTTCTTAAGCATTTTTTTCAATCCATGCAGCAGCAATAATAAACTTGAAATAGGTTTTTTTTGGATTGATTAATTAAAGAAATGATGGCATACTTACCTCCAGAGGCCAGCTTCCTCAAGTTTTCCTGCATCCTCTCTTTATAGAGGTTCTTCTGGGATAACCCCTCCTCCATAAGAAGTTTCCAGTGACATTCTCAAAGGTCATTGTTGTAGGAGGTCGCTTGTTTGTTCCTGAATACACAGACAGAAGGACCTCCCACACCAAGTCATTGACTTCTAAATGAGCCCACATGCATTTTCGTAGGAAGTTTGACCCTTATAGTACTGAAAAATCAAGGCTTAATTCATTAAAAGCTGGAATACTATATTCTGTAGCTGTTTAATTCTTGTCTTGTTTATCATATTCTACTGTCTGCACATTTTAAGATTCTCTTACACACAGCACTTGTGACAGTAGATGGGGGTTCCTTTAAGACAGCAGCATAATTGTACTTCCTTGAACTCATAGGTCATGTTATCTTCTCTTTGTATACTGTGTCACTATCACGACACTCATAAAATTCTGAGTCCCCTAATGATCCAAATACTGTATGTTCTTAAAAATTTAGAAAGATTTTTTTAACCTCTCCTGGTATCCAGGAATTGCTAGATTCAGAAGGATTCACATGAAAATTTAAAACAACATTGGAAGGTACACATTTTTTAAAATTGACAGGATTTAATATCATTTAGGAGACAAACCTCCAGGTGTGTGAGGAAATGCATTGGTTATATTAATTGAGGTGAGAAGTTTTACCTTAACTGTGGGCAGCACCATTTCTTGGGCTGAGGTCCTGGAGTACAAACAAAATACAAGGGTGAGGTGAACACAAGCATGGCCACTCTGCTTCCCAACTGCAGATGCACTATGACCATTCACTTGAAGTCCTTGCTCCCCTGCCTTTCCTGTCATGATGGACTGTAACCTTGAACACTGAGCCAAACTAAACCTTTGTGCACTTATGTTCTCTTTTTAAGTCATTTGTTCCAGCAATGAGACAAATACCTTAGACAGGCCTGATTAAAGATAAGTCAATACACGAATAAATCAACACAACCATTTATATTTTATTTATTTTGTGTGCAAGTGTATGTGGGGGGGGGGTTCAAACATTCTAGGGTACACATGTGAAGGTTAAAGGGCAGCTCTGTAGGGTTTGTAGAAACTCTGCAGTTTCTCCTTCCATCTATATGGAGGCTCCAGGGATTGAACTCAGTTCCTAAGATTTACATTTTCAAACCAAAGGAAGATTTCCATTTTTCAGGCAGCAAGTGCATTTATAAGCTGAGACATCTTACAGGCCCCAACACCATTGTTTCTATAGAAAATTCTAACGAAGAAAAAAACAAGGGGAAGGAAGGTACATATTCATATATCCCGTGAACAGATCTAACACAACATGTCACCTTTCACAGATATGAGTGACATTCTATGATTTCCAAGGCAAACTTTTAAATAGTATAATGATTTTGTTAGTCAGGATTGCCTAAAGGAATACAACTGATGAATCTGTATGTCTAAAAGGGGGATTTATTAGAGTGGTTTACAGCCTGTGATCTGGCTAATCCAAAATGGCTGTCTCCCAACAGAAAGTCCAAGAAGCTGGAAGTTGTTCAGTCCACAGGCCTGGATAGCTCAGCTGGTCCCCTGTCTACACTGGAATCCTGAAGAAGTAGCTTCCAAGATCAGTGAGATAGCAGCAGATGAAATGAACTCGGCAGCAAAATGAGGGCAAGTAGGAAAAAAGCAAAAGCATCCTTCTTCCAAATCCTTTCATGTGAGCTGCCACCAAATGTGTAGCCCAGATTTAGGGTGGGTCTTCTGACCTCAAAATGATGCAATTAAGAAATCCTACACGGCTGCTTGGGCTTTTTTTTTTTTCTGATTCCAAATATAGCTAAATTAATAACCAAGATTGGCCATGACAATGTTAGAGTTATTACCAGCAGAATCAAGAATGACCTAGAAGACAAGCCTCCATGCATACCTGGGAAGGATTATCTAGATTAAGATAATCCTTGAGATCATCTCTGAGGGATTATGTTGATTATATTAATTGATGTGGAATAAACAATTAATTGCAGGAAAGACAATTCCCTGGACAGGGACCTGGACTGTATAAAATGAAGAAAATAAACTGAAAATTAGCATTTACTCATCACTCTCCACTTCCTGACTGTGGGTAGCATTTGACCAGCTCCTTGATTTTTTTGGAACCTGAGCCAACACTCTGGTTCTTGATCTGTGAGCCAGAGCAAAACCTTCCTCCCTTAAGTTGTAATTGTCAGGGTATTTGATACAGAAGCAGGAAACCAGTAAGATTAGTGGTAAACTTAGTTTACCAAAAAAAGTAGCTGCAATAAACATGAACCAATATTTTCAATAAGAAAGTGGTAAATTGCCTAATATGGATAAAAGGCTAAAACTACATTAATCCAGGCCAATGAGATGGTTCAGTGGTTAAAGAAACCTGTTGCCAAAGCTTTGGTATCTGAGTTTGATCCTCAGGACCAACAGAATGAATGGAGAAAACTAACTATCACAAGTTGCCTTCTGATCTACATAAACTCATAACTAATAAATTATAATGTAATGCAAATTTTAAAAGCATACTACAATGTCTAAAAACTCCTTTAACCAAGACACTAAGCAACTGACATGAAATGAAAAGTTCAAAAGGGAAATCAATTGTTGATTGAACATTTTGAAACAGAAAAGTGGAAAAATAAGGAAGAGATGGTAGGTCAGAGTCAGAAATCACAGTATCTAAACACACAAGGCAAGGACAAACTGGTCTGTAGTTGGAATTATGCATTTTATTTCTCTCTACAGGCAACATCCAAATCACACCCTGAGACAGAAAAAAATATTCAAATGTTCTCATGTAAAGTGAAGCAGAAAAGTAGAACCCACATCCTCAAGTCAAAGGCAATTCATAGGTCAAAGAAAATGTTAAATCCAACAAATTCTTAACACAAAATATCCAGAAAATCTGGAGCACTAAGAAAAGAATGAACCTAAGAATAATAGGAATTGAAGGAGAAGAAGTCCAGCTCAAAGTTACAGAAAATTTATACAACAAAATCATGAAGAAAACTTTCCCAACCTAAAGAAGGACATGCCTATGAAAATACAATAAGCTTACCAAACATCAAACAGACTGAACCAAAAAAACCACACAATAATCAAAACACTAAACATACAGAATAAAGAACACTATTAAGAGCTGAAAATAAAAAGGCCAACCAACATAAAAAGGCAGACCTATCAGAATTATACCCAACTTCTTATAGAAACAATGAAAGTCAAAAGATCCTGGTCATGTATTAATGTAGACACTTAGAGACCATGGATACCAGCCCAGACTACTATATCTAACAGAGCATTCAATCAACACAAACAGAGAAAGCAAGATATTCTATGACAAAACCAGATTAAATCAATACCTATCCACAAATCCAGCCCTAATGATAGTACTAGAAGGAAAACTACAACCCAAGGAAGGTAGTTACACCCACAAAAACACATTTAATAGATAAATAGATAAATAGTAGATAATCCTATACCAGCAAATCCCATAAAAGAGAAACATACACAGAATACCACCAACAACAGCAAAAAAAATTATAAGAACTAACAATCACTGGTCATTAGTATCTCTTATTATAATTAGACTCAATTTACCTATAAAAGGATACAGGCTAACAGAATGGTTACAAAAGCAGACTCCATCCTTCTGCTGCATACAGGAAACACAAAGATAGGTATGACCTCAGAGTACAGGATTGGGGAAAGATTTTCCAACCAAATGGATCTAAGAAACAAGCTGTTGTAGCTATCTTAACACCTAATAAAATAGACTTCAAGCTAAAATTCATCAAAAGAGATGAAAAAGGTCATTTCATATTCATCACAAAAAAACTCCATTAAGATGAAGTCTCAATTCTGAACATCTATGCCCTAAATACAAAGGCACCCTCATTTGTAAAAGAAACATTACTAAAGCTTAAATAATACATCAAGCCCCACACACTAATAGTGGGAGACTTCCTCACACCCACTCTCACCACTAGACTGATTGGCCAGACAGAAACATAACAGAGAAATAAACAAACCAATATTATGACAAATGGGTTTTAACAGACCTCTATAGAACATTTCACCCAAACACAAAAGAATATATCATCTTCTCAGCACCTCATGGATCCTTCTCTAAAACTGACCACATACTCGGTAACAAAGCAAATTTCAGCAGAGACAAAAAAATGGAATAACTCCATGTGTCTTATCAGATCATCATGACTTAAAGTTAGAATTCAACAACAACACTAATTGCAGGAAGCCCACAAACTCATGGAAAGTGAATAATGCTCAACTGAATCACTCCTGGGCCAAGGAATAAATAAAGAAGTTAAGGACCTCCTAAAATTCAATGAAAATGACTGCACAACATATTCAAACCTATGGGACACAATGAAAGCACGGTTAAGAGGAAAGTTCATAGCACTAAATGCCTACATAAAGAAGATGGAAAAATCCCACACTAGAAAATTAACAGAACACCTGAAAGCTCTAGAACAAAAAGAAGCAAACTCACCCTGGAGGGCTAGATGACAGAAAATAATCGAATTGAGAAGTCCAGCTCAAAGTTACAGAAAATTTATACAACAAAATCATGAAGAAAACTTTCCCAACCTAAAGAAGGACATGCCTATGAAAATACAATTGAGATCTGAAATCAAAAAATAGAAAAAAAGAAAACAATACAAAGAACCAATGAGACAAAGAATTGGTTCTTCAAGAAAATCAACAAGATAAACAAACATTTGTCCAAATCAACCAAAATACAGAAAGAGAACATCCAAATTAACAAAATCAGAAATGAAAAGGGGGACATAACAACAAACACTGAGGAGATCTAGAGAATCATTAGGTCATACTTCAAGAACTTGTAGTCTACAAAATTGAAAAACTTACAGGAAATGGAAATTTTCTGAATAACTACCACATACCAAAATTAAATCAAGACCAGATAAGTAAAGTAAATAGACCTATAACTTCTAAGGAAATAGAAACAGTCATCAAAAGTCTCCCACTATAAAAAAAAAAAAAGTCCAGGACCAGATGGTTTCAGCACAGAATTCTACCAGAATTTCAAAGAAGAACTAATACCAATATTCCCCAAATTATTCCACACAATAGAAACAGAAGGAATGTTGCCAACTTTTTACAAGGTTACAGTTCCCCTTACACCCAAACCACACAAAGATGCAACTAAGAAAGAGAATCACAGACCAATCTCTCTCATGAACACTGATGCAAAAATACTTAGTAAAATTCTGGCAAACAGAATCCATGAACACATTAGAAAAATCATACACCATGACTGTAGTCAGAGGTCGTTAGTTTGTTCCCAGCCACTCTCACTCAAAATAATCACACAGAAGCTATATTATTTACAGTACTCTTAGCCAATAGTTTAAGCATCTTTCTAGTTAGCTCTTATATCTAAATTAACCCATTTATATTAATATGTATATCACCACATGGCTGTGACTTACAGGCTAGGTTCTGGTGCATCTGTCTCCTGCAGACAGCTACATGGCTTCTCATTGACTCTTCCTTCTTTCTCCCAGCATTCAGTTTAGTTTTCCTGCCTAGCTCTATTCCACTAAGCCACTGGCCAAAAACAGCTTTATTCATTAACCAATAAAAGCAACACATATACAGAAGGACTTCCTATACCATTTCCCCTTTTCTGTTTAAATAAATAGGAAGGTTTTAACTTTAACATAGTAAAATTACATATAACAAAAAGGTATCAAGCAAGAATTACGATTACAATATTTATATCTACTTATCTTTTATCATAACTAAGGAAAACTATAATTATAACTATCTATTCTTCAACTCCATCAAAGACTCCAGAAGGATATATTACCTAAGTTAACAGGAAGTGCATTGTAAGCAACTTCCAAAACTCTAGAATTGACAGAGACATCTTGCTGCCTGAAAAATCACCCAAAGTTTCTCTGCAACACTGGGGCATCCATCTTCAGTACATAGACCCATAGTATCTGGCAGACTTTTCAATGAAGCAGGAAATTTCAAAGACAGTTCCACCTATATTGGCAGTTTGTTAGTCACTTTCTTCTGTATCCTGCAGAATGTCTGGCAGACTCTTTCATGAAACAGGAACCCTGAAGGACTGTCTCACCTTTAAGCAAATTCAGCAGTCATTTTTCTCTGCGGGTTCTGCATGTCCAGTTCATACAACATACCATCAAGCAGTTCAGACAAGAACAGCTTCTTGTCCAAATGGCTAACAAACTCCATAAGGAGCCTCTTCGATGCCCATCAGCCTCTTGAAGCAGATTGGTGCTGCCAGGGGCAGATGTGTCTCGTTGTCATAAAAAGTCTCTTAAAACAAAAGCTCTTAAAACATTTTAAATGCCATTTTAAATATCAAGCTTTATCTTTAATTATACATATTTTTAAATGAGCTGTACAATTACAATACCTTAATCAAGAACAGAAATATTCTAAATTGAACTGCCTCTGCCTCAACCATTGACAAAATGCACAGTGTCCAGACTGGACAAGCAGGATATAAGCAAAAAGACTGACAAACCTTGCCAAAACAGGGTAAGGTTTCAAATTTTCCTGCCTTTGAAAGTGGTTTGTCAGTTACTCTAGGCCTTCGCCAAATGTGCCTTTGGGTGATTGCCCAGGTATCCAGTTGTCTCTATCATTTCTTGCACATTTTGGAAGTTGCTTCATTGTACTTCCTGTTTATTCAGGTAATATTATTTCCCTTCTCAGGTTTTTGATGGGGTTGAAAACTAGATAGTCATAGCTACTTTCCTCTTATGACTCAGCCAAGCCATTTTTAATATAAGACTTAGACTCCTTAGGATAGGATAACTATTGAAACATTTAGCATATGCTTCTTGTTTGATGATGTTCGTGCTGTTTGTAATTCTAAATGATACACACGTGTGTGTGTGTGTGTTCTTTTCCCTGAACAATACTTACTATTCATTCTTATTGTATATAGTTTTGTACTAGGCTTAGAACACTCTTATTTAGACAAAAGGAGAAGGTACTGTGGGAACTCCTTCAGCCAATAGCCTTTAAATACTGGCCTACTTTGG